TAATAAAAATAAGAGTAATAATTAATAATAAAAAGAATAGTATATGGAGAGAGGAGAGGCCGAGGGAATGTATAACATGGCGCGTTATTCTCCCGTGTCAAATGGGATAATTTTATTCCGCGCCAGAGATATATACGTACATATATAACTTCATTTTGAGGAAAATTTCCATTTCTTTGGGCACGCCCGACGGATACATCCCGATTTTGCATAAAACGCGGCCGCGGGACACACTCTTATGCGGAACGTTATAAATGGTTCCCCGGCCGTCACTCTCCGGTCGGCCCGGTCGACGAAATGTAAATTTTTATATACGATTTATCGACGCGCGGCGCGGGGTTGACGAGGAGGGAGGGAGGGAGGGCGATTCTGTCCGTCGTCGAATGTCTTTTTCGCGTCGCGTCCCTCTCTCGTGTAATCAATATACGTATCGTACATCGGCCGCGGGAACACGGGAGATACATACACTGAAAAATCGTCCACTTTTATTATATATCGGCCGGCACGCGCGCGCATGGCCGCGCAACTTTAAAAGGAAATAGGACGACGACGCGCGTAAAATGTATTGTGCCAACCTTTCACCTTTTGCCGAGAGAGAAAGAGAGAGAGAGAGAGAGAGAGAGAGAGAGAGACACGCATACGCGTGCATGCGGAAAACGGGCTGCGGGTCGGGCAGGGTGTAGGTGTTCATATTACGACATATTGCGCCGACGCGACGGGACATTTATGTGAGAAGGGTCGAACTGTAATCGAGCCCCCGGTAATAGACATACTTTCGTTAATTATCGTCGTGCTTATTAAGCACAGGCGCCCTGATATTGATGACGCTTATTTACTGGATGATCAGCTACCGTGGCGAAAAGAGAGAAGGGCGAGAGACAAGAGGGATGCTATATCTGGAGAAGAATGTAATCGAATACACGAACGTATTATATAATAGCTCGTGTAACTGTATGAACTTCTATTATTACAGATTAAAAATATCTTATATTAAAGGTAACTTTCAGACGTCTTTTCAGAACCATGAAGATGCCTTCGAGAGACGTCTTTCGAGTGAAGTTTTTAAAGATGCCTTTTATATACACGTACGCGTGTTTGAGACGCTATCGCGTCGAACAGAACAGTAGCAGACTTTTTCTGGCGCGACTAAAGCGATTCGGCGATCGCGTCACTTTGTGCACGGCATTATCACAAAGGAGGTTTAGCTCTTGCAATCAGGCCACTTTCAGGGTGGCGCTTTGCGATATATGTGTATCAAGGCGGTGCGCCCGTTCAATGATCCCTTTTCGATCTGCCGTCTATATACGTATATAGGTACTCTTTGTGCGCGAGACGGCGTCGGTAATAGGGAAACATTGAACGCCTCCTTTCTGCCGGTATCTTTGTTCACCCAAGATTTAAAAGGCGGGGGGGAGGGGGAGGGCTTCGATGACGAAACGCAAAATGAATATACGTGCGGGCGAGGTCACTTTTAGTAGCCGGAGGAAAATCGTGCGAAACATTTGTACCGCGGATTCCGTTCACGAATCTGCAGCGACGATCGACGAGTGGCGCGACGCGATCCGCGCGTGGATAATCGAAAAGGTCCAATCGCACCCTCTTAACCGTATCGCCATTTCCTCCTTTCCTTTCATCGCGAACACGACGCGACGTCACGGTCGGGACGTGGCAGAGCGCGAGCGATGAAAGAAAAGTTAACTTATAGCGCTTCCTGCTCTACGAGAATTGCGAGGTTCTATTCCGCGTCGCGGAATAAAACGTAGGATTGGGGGCGGTAAGAGGCGGGGAAAGGGGGTGGGATTGCGTTACTAGCGAGTAGGAATATCCTCTTCGGAGAGATCGATAGAAGTTCCAGTTGATCGAGCATTTTGCATTGACTGTCGCGGCAGGCAACACCGATGCATCGATGCTGAATCCGTTGTTGCTGGGCTTGGCAGCCATGGCGACCCTTTTGGCCCTGGCCGTTGCTGGAATCCTGGCGGCGCTCTACCGGAAGCACTCCACCGGTCGACCCGGAAGTCCAAAGCACGCTCCCATCGTATGCGAGCCGCCTAATGCAGGTGCAACCACCCCGGTGCACCCTCAGACCAAGCAGGCGGTCGATGACATCGATCCGGACATCATACCCAACGAGTACGGTAAGTATTTCGTCTGCATTCCGTTGGTAAAGGCTTGCACGAACTGCGCTCTATCTGCGTATCTATTGGTGCCCCTCTTTTTTATGTCGACGAGAAACTGAGCTGAGCCGTCGCATATATGCATTATTGTCTTTCAATTTTGTCGAGATCGCCGCGAGAAGGGATCTCGAGAATAGGAGCACGATAATAACTTTTTGGTTTTTTTTTTTCCAAGAGATTCGAAATTACTAGACATAAAATTATGTAGATGTATAAAAAATTCAATAAGTTTTTCTCTAGCTTCAATTATAAAACGAAATTATAAATTGTACATTTTTCATTTAAAACGACGTGAAAATAGACGGAGGTAAATATATTTTATTTCAGTTGTTCGCGTACAATTCTATATTTTTTAATAAAGAAAAATTTCTGAATTGTATTCTTTATAAGAAATAATTAATCGTTGTAAAACGATTAAATAATAAATTATCGTAAAGAATTCATCAAGAGAATATCGTTGAATGTGATTTTTGTAGGTATTTCGGTAAAGATGCATTTTAATACTGATGCATTAACGAGCAACAGCGACAGCGTGTTTCATATTAAATTGAATTTAAAAAATTGTTGCTTTAAAATTAAAATCTATTACATGTACCAGGGTTGTGCATCTACGCGTAAAATATAATACTCTACGTTTACGTGTAGACAACGTAAACTGTTGTATGTCATCTATGTAGACAGTCCAGTAGACTATATATTTATTCATTTAATAAATACATATAATTTAACGTTTATGTAAAAAAATTACTACCATTTGAGTAAGAAAAAATCTACGGCACAACTCTGACATGTACCAACATATATAATATTACTTTAAAATATTACATATTTTTTCCCATTTTTCCAATAATTCATATTATATTACCCAATTTCTTGTAAGCTGGAATCGGATATTTTGTTAATCTTTATGTATATCTGAATATAATATGGTTAAATTATTAGCAGAATATGGAAATGTTACAGCAACAACAGTCGATATTTTATAATTTACGTTCGACTTCCTCTCTAGATTATGTATCAAACTTTTAGCATAGTACTAATAATAATTCAAGCGAGTTTCTTTGTATAATTAATATTGTAATTATATCAAATGAAGGACTTGCATAAAATATTCTCAAAAGAGGTAAATTTTTTGCGGATATGCATTCTCGAAAAAAAAAATATATTACGCACGTTCTAAATCTGCGTGAACGCGAACGTAATAAAGCCCCTGATATCATTTTCCAAGTGTATAATAATAAACACGTAATGTTAGTTTTTGTACTTATAGCAAGCGAAGTCCGTGAAACAAACTTCTCATTTAAATTCATTTCAGCGCGATGTTACTTTTTCCATGAAAATACATTTCCATTTGCGATATTAATACGCGAACTACGTCGCGGCGGGCGAGCTGCGTGAATAATGATAATGTCGGGAAATGAAGTTGGATTGAAATACTTAAAAATCGAGAGATCTCTCGTAAATTTCGCCTTTCGTAATGAAAGTTTCATCGATAGAATAGTGCAAATTCTTGCAGGGTCTTAGCGCGTAAATTTCACCTTTCTCGGTGCGAAGAAAAGAAAGAGAGAGAGAGAGAGAGAGAGAGAGAAAGAGAGAGGGAGAGAAAGAAAAGCCCATCGTGACGAATCGGTCGCGAAGCTTATGTTAGATATTTGCATTTACAAGAGATAGAGTACTTATATAAAAAAAAAGAGGAAAAAAGATACCTGTTCCCTTCTCCTGATTTAATCGACTAAGCGGCTTAGTCGTTCGGTCTCTGCATGGCTTCCGTAAATCTGTCCGCAGAAAGAAGACCCCTAACGTATACTACCGTCTATAAGACACCGCCACAACGAAGAAAGAAAGCTCGCGCCGATGAGGACGCCTCGCCGGAGAAAAGGCCGATCGTTCAGCACGGTCTAGACCTGCCCCCGGATCCGATGTTGACCGACTGCCTGCCAACGCCTACCATAAATTACCCGCAAAATCACGTGTCTCAGCAAAGCGCTTATCATCCGCCCACGATGGCTGATTTCAAGCAGATGGCGATGGACGCCTACAATCAGCGTAACAACCAAAACGTAAGTGATTCTGATAAAATATCGCATCTTTTATTCGTTACTTCTCGTCACGTTAATCAATAAAATATCCCTGCTATAAAAATGACTCCTTCCTCAATCAATAAGAAAAGAAATCAATGAAAGAGTTGTGATTGAAGGAAAATGTAATCGTATCGAGTTTATAGGAAATAAATTCCCATATGACTTACGACATGATAATTTCTTTCGCAAAGTTACATAAATAGCGCTTATTTAATATTCCAAAATTTTGAGACAGGAAGATTCTTTAATTTTTGAGCGCAAATAAGCGAGGAGGAAGGAATGAGGGGGTTATAGGTAGATCGAATTACGTTCGGGCGCAATCAAATTAGCGCTGCATTTTTTATTTTGTAATGTCTGATTCGATCTTCGTTGAAATATTGCGTCTAACTTCCGCAAAGCTAAATCAGAAAGGCTATTTTAAATATTAGAAGCTCGGAGCGGAGTGATGGGAAGTTAGTCAAGAGAGGAGGAATCGGTTGCTTCAATATGCGGCAGTCTCCCACTTTAACTTTTCCGGTTTAGCAGGGTCTTGAGTTATCTGCGCTTTCGTAAGTTTAATTACGTCGAAGTTTTCTCGATAATTTGACGAGGCCAGTCCCGATGTACGTAACTCGTCTCCGTATTCCGACTTCCGCTGTTCTTCCTCGGCGATTGCTTTCTATTTAGGCGGCTGAATTAATTGCATATTAAAAAAAATGCGAGAACGAAAAATCTACATCGACTAATCAATAATTTGTTGTCAAACTAATAATTTTATTGAAAAAGTAGAATGTAATATTCAAAACGGTATTTATTAAAATTACATTATTGAATACTAATAGCTTTATAAAATATATATTAATAGCCATAATATTATTAATATTATTAATATATATTATAAGCCACTCTAAAATCATATGGCAAAAAGGATGCAAAAGACTAAATGCATGTATTATTTTTAAGCCGTCTTCTCCATAAATATATAAATAAAAGAGCCTGGTTTTTTCCCAGGACCGAATAAACACATGTCATTTGCTTTCGTGCAATTTCATTAATTTAAAATCTTCTCTTCTTTTTACACCCGCGCGGCGAAAGGATTGGAGTCCAATATGTTAAAATCTTTTTACAAATACGCGCTTAGTACCGTTTTCGCACGTTGAAACGGATGCACTGGAACAACGCATGTGTCCCTTTTATTAATCAATGAAATAGTATATATCTGATGAATATCGAACGTGGCTCCTGCTTTCAGGTATATTATAGCCTTCAGAGGACGAGCAAAGGGCTCTCGTCGATGCCACAGAGGCCCGTTTCATCGTCGATCTCCGCGCAAGGCAAATTCCATCAACCTGAAGTGGTGACACGCTCGAATCGGATACAGGAGAGCTGTATATAAGTTCGGCAGGAGGGTGGATCGGGGAGGGGGGAGAGGGAGAGAGGTTTCCCCTGCGGGATCAACCTCGTGAGCTTCTAAGACGCCGCCGGCGATTATATTTACACGTGTAAATGTAACGAGTACGGGCGGAGAGCAGCGTTATATGTGGGAGAGATCCGTGGATCCCCGAGACGCGTTGCGCGAAGTCTAAACGTGGTATCTTCCCATAGTTGGTACACGAGAGTTTCGCGAATCCACTCCGCGAAACATACTTAACGTTTACTGTACAAAACCGTAGAGAGGCTGATGGTGTGTTCCAGATCGTATTGATGATGGGAACGCGGTCTCTCCTCGAGATTACTTTGCGCCGATGCCGCCGGGGACGGCGCTATAACATTTTCATATATAATTTTGCGGGGGAGATGAGAAAGAGAGAGGTAGGAAAACGACGAGTTAGCGAGTTAGAGAGATGGTTAACCCGTACATGTCCAAAAGTATTTCTTTACTGCCATACTGAGGTATAAAAAACGGTATATCGTAACGTACAAAGAGTCTAACCCCTAAAAAGTAGTTAATGTCAATAACGAGGAAGAGATGATGAGGCTGGGTCAAAGCGAGCTGAAGGAAATTTTAACGGCGCTTTATATATTTTATTCATACTTCCGGTATTTCCGAGTCGCGCACAAAACGGTGTCTCTATACATATTATATGTATATGGACACCCCCGCCACGCTAATTCTTTTCGAACTTTTTACAACCTGTCGAAACTACTTTCAAGCGAGTCGCTCTCACAGCAGCGACCTGTGAGATAACAGACGATCAGGAAGATTATTCTCGCGATCAGAGCTCGATTCTCCAGCCTTATCCTCGAGAAAATACTAACGATATTAATGTGATCGTATTCGAAGCTCATCACTGCTCATGTTTTTTCGTACGCAAAATTTTTATAAGACAGCCCCAGACACGGAGAAAAAAGTAAAATAAATTCGTTGAAAAAAAAGACTTCGCCGAACTCGAGAGAATCTCTTAAATGGAGCGACGTCTTCGTTCCCGATCACTGATCACGCGGCACACGAACGTGGGAATTTTACTGTTTATATATGGAACTAGTTTTTGTACAAAGATTCTATTGTAAATAGACACGAGCCTGGCCCTAGAATTATAGTCACTAATGTCCGAATTTCATCCGTTACACGTTAAGTCGAGAGAAGATGTCCGATCGCGTTTAAGATAAAGCTCGATGGCATGCGAATACGAATAAAGAGAATACGTTTCATCTGTTTTACACAAACGAGCTCATTTTCTTGCCCCCTCCCCCCTTTTTCCCTTCCGCTTGATCTTTACGTATGTACTCCTCTCCGATTAAGACCGAAAAACGTATATATACGGCAGCAGCGAGAAGGCGAAATTCTTACGGTACGTGAGACGAATTTATTCGCGTAACGCGTATACATACTTGTGTTACGCTTCCATTATGCCTCGTATACACTCTCTCTCTACATTTCGAACGTGAAAGAAATTTCTCCCGCGCTCGCGTGTAACAAAACATGTTACACAATACGCACTTAATACGGAACATAACGACATTTGCCCGATGCATATCGCGGCTTCCTGCTGCTGCGCTTAATGACGTAAAGTACGTACCCCATTAATTTTGCCGTGCCGCGCTGAAAAAGCACAGCTTCTCTCTCAATTAGCGAATATTCATGAGAGAGCTTGATTCCACTTTAAGAGAGAGAGAGAGAGAGAGAGAGAGAGAGAGAGAGTGTGTGTGTACGCGATCATAAGAATTGTGTAAAATATACATTTTACTTTATTCGCCGGCGTCTTCTCTTCATCTCTCACAAGGTAAGTACCTATCACGCTTCTAATACACCCACCAGTGGCACGTATAATTACGAAAGATAGCGGCGTTTAATAACGATTGCGAAAATGCAAACGTTTAATGCCCCGGTCTCGGTGTGCCGAGATGCGACGTCGACGTCGCAATATGGGATGCGGGTAGGGGCGGGGAGGGGGGAAGGGGCGAGGAGATGCGATATATATTTCGCAAAAAGAAAATTGCCACAGGCGAGAGACGTATCGCGCCATTTCCTCGAGATAAACGCGCCGCGCGGGATGGCTGAAGTGCTTTAAGGAAAACAGATCGTCGCGCCTCTCCATTAGCTTCGAAGAGAGCTGCAAAAGCGTCCTGACAGCTAGGTGAGCATCCTATTGGACGAAGAACAGTAATTCGAGCATTTCGCGGGGGAGGGTGAGGGGGTGGAGGGGGCGGGAGAATACGGGGACGCGCTACAGTGTTTGCATACATTGTGCATTCTCGGTCTTGCTAACAAGGACTAACCCAGGTTGCCGGAGTAACCTATTATTCTATGTGCCATCCGTGTCTCCAGGGCTGTTAAGACGACCTATTCCGCTCCTAACGCTGTCGCACAGCTATCCCCCATCAGACTGTCACCCATTCCAGCCGCGAATTGCGAGACATAATTACGATTCACCCAGGCATCATAATCGAATGATATCGCAATACGTGCAGATGGAACGGTCAATGATCGTGCCTCATGGTATTCGGTCGACTAATGCTCTGATTGAATCACAATCCACAATCCAACCCCTCCCCCACGCTGTCTCGCTGCAATACTGTGAGAGAGGACATCGGTCTCGCTTTGCCGCTTCTTTATTTTTATAAAAATACGTCGTTCTCTTTCTTTCCTCGACACAATATCGGCTTTCCGATCAGTGAAATAATTTATCATCAAGCCGAACCGATATATCGATTCCATTTTATTTCGCAAACCAAAATTAATTTCGCTTGTTTATAAGCCAGCGTTTTTGCTGCAGAATTTATAATATGTTTGCTTCATTGATTAATTATTACCGTAGAAGCAGTAAAATATCAAGACTTATGTAAATTTCTTAAAGAAACTATTGGCGGTAAATCGTTCTTGAGAGAGTGGAAAAGGCGTCGCACAACGACACGGTAAGTTTGAAAAGTAATCGAGTCGCGAGGCAGCACGCTCAATTAGCTACGGAAATCATTTCCGACGGTAAGTCCAGCACGATAATCCGAAACGATTCCGCGGTTACTTAATTGACTTCATTCTCTCGCCACCAAAGATTCTATATTGACTGAGTTTGAAAAAATAATATATATATGAAATAAACAGTACATGTATAGTATAAACAAAAGTATGCAAAGTGTTAAGGTTTTTTAATAGAAAATTAACAAAAAAGGAGTTTACTTTTTTTCTAATTTAGAACAAACTTGAAAACAAATATTTTGTTTTTAGACAAATAAATGATACGTATATCTAAAAAATTATAAAACTTTTAACAAATATTTATTATTTTGACTTCTTCACGTTTTCTATTGTCTATTTAATTTATTAGCATAATTATTAATATTTTAACATAATGAAAATTAACAAAAGTAAATTCAGGATGTACAATCAGCAAAAATCAGCTAAAAGCTATCAAAATTTAAAATTTACAGATTTCTTAGGTTTGTATCGTCTAAAAATAAAATGAATAACTTTACATTACATAAGAAGTTAAACTTTCGTGAAATAACGTGATTTTTCAAGTGTTCAAGAACAGAAATATTTATAATATTTTTTTTAATCATTGATAAAAAATTTTGATCGTGAATATGCCCTGAAATCAACTGTAAGAAACAAAATAATGAATAATTTATAAGATAATTATTAATCATTACAAGTAATAATTAATTTACATATACATTTAATATTAAAGAAATAAGTTTTATATATTAAATTAATAATTTTGGAACAAAATATACGTCTAAAATATATTATTGTAAAATATGACAATATCGCATTATTTTCTATGTTGGCATTACCGCTTATCAAACTTCAAGTGTAGAAAGTGCTTCGAGTATAATAATGTGCTTTGAATCTCGTGAATCTTCTAAAATGTCGAAAAATAATAAATATTGTTAAAAAGGAAAATGAGTATTACATGAAAATAACTATTTGCGTCGCCAAAAATTAAAAAGTATCGA